TATGATTTTAACCACATTTTTGAACGGAATTGTCTGAAAATCCATACAAGGAGTTCCTTATGGGTAATTTATACCTCGGCAGAGAATTATCTATATAGGTCCACGATATCGTATAGCCCCCATATAACGGTACCCTCGATATTCGGTATTTTGATGATTTTAGCCACATTTTCAAATCGTATTGTCTGAAAATCCACACAAGGAGTTCCTTGTGAGTACTTTACACCCAGACATAGATTTGTCTTAATGGGTCCACAATATCATATATACCCCCATATATCGGCAACTTCCTATATTAAATATTGTAAAGATTTAAAAAAAAAATAATGGATTTTTCTTTGAAAAATTTCTAATTTGTTCCAAATGGTGGAGGGTATTTCAAGTTCGTCCCGGCCGAACTTACTGCTACTTTTACTTCCGACCGATTCCATTTAGACTTAGCACATCTTTCTATCAACACAAAATCTGTTGTAAAGATGGTAGAGATCGGACCATTCCTTCTTGTACCTTCACAAAGGGTCAACGAACAAAAATTATAAAATCCGAAATAAGTATCCGGGTTACTTCATATTTCACACATCCCATTATTTCTTCTAACACAAGATCTGCTATGAAGAATGAGATATATCGGTCCACTTCTTCTGGTACCTCCCACATAAAGGGTCAAATGAAAACGCGAAAATAAGAAGCGATTCCATTCAGACTATGTACATATCAATATTTCCATCAACACAAGATCTGTTATAAAGATGGTGGATATCGGACCAATCCTTCTGGTACCTCCACCACAAAGGGTCAAAGTTTTGAATAAACAAAATGATTATAAAATCCGAAATAACCATTCGATTCTCTACATATTTCACACATCCCATTATTTCTACTAACAGAAGATCTGTTGTGAAGATGGGATATATTGGTACCCTACTTCTTGTATCTCCCCCACAATGGGCAAAATTTTTTAAAATCCATGAAGCTCATAAAACCCTAAATTAACATCTGTTTCCATTCAGACTTGGTACATCCCAATATTTTAATCAAACAAGATGGCAGGGTCTGTCTATTTCTTCTGGTACCTCCCCTACATAAGGTTCAAGGTTTTGAAAACCAAAACGCTCAAAGAAAAGAAATAAGCATCCACCCATTCCCGGCGAAGCGCTTGCTCAATGTCATTTTTTGGTGCCAACTTTGCTTACCAAAATATTCCACACGCAATAGTTCAAAGGATTGGTATCCGGATATTTTGATGGCCATTGTCCGCTGAAAATGAAACGATGAACCTCATTTTTTAACCATTCTTGGGTGGCGCGTGCTGAGTGCGATAGTGCTGAGCCCTGCCAGAATGTCCAAGGTCTGCGGCTACAATGTTTGTGTGCCATTGTGCGCTGGAAATGAAGCGAGGAACTTCATTTTTTAACCATTCTAGGGTGGCGCGAGCTGAGTGCGATTGTGCTGAGTCCTCTTCGAATGTCCAAGGTCTGCGGCTTAAATTTTTTGCGTGCCCAAAGCTTAAATACACCCTTCAGAATATTTTCACGATAATATTCGGCATTTATTCTGATGCAAAGGTCGATAATTACGAGCGGCCCACACCATTATCATGACCGGCGCCTGAGTTATTGTTGCCAACCGAAGGCTCACATTTTCAGCTGACCTCTTTGGCAAGTAAACATGATCATTTGGTCTGTTTACGAATGTTTTCTCATCGGAGAGAACCAAATTCGGCAGTTCACCACTTTCGGCCAAGCGAGGCAACTCTTTAGCTCTTTTGAGTCTATTTTCTTTCTGTTGCTGTTGCGGGGTAAGTTCTTGCACTTTTTGGAATTTCAATGGCTTTACTCCGAGCTCATTTTTCAATATTTGCCGAATGGAATATTGCGATATGTTCAGCTCACGAGCCATTTTTCGGCCACTGGGACGCGGGTTTCGTTCAAGTCGCTTCTTTACTTTTCGAACCATTTCTGCAGATGTTGCTGTTTTCTTCCGTCCACTTCCTTGACGTCGGGCTGCGCTACCAGTATCACGGTAACGAGCGATGGTACGAGACACAGAAGATTTATTCACATTCAAATGCTGGAGTGCTCTAACGATAGCCCCTTGTAGTTTTCCAGCCACATATAAAGAAATCACACTATCGCGCTTAAATTCCATCACGAATAACTTTTTTTCTCGAAAATTCTCACCAAAATGCTTTTGTACGCTTATAAACAATATAATGAGCTGTTACCGGAATAATTTTAACAGCTGTCGGACGAGTGGCTTAGATATGACAGCAGTTTGAAGTTGGTTGCTGTTTTTCATCTCACCCTGTATTTATATTTCTATTTACCTTTCTTTACTTTCAAGGGCGACATTCAAGATTTAATCTACGAAAACAACAACAAAATACGAAGATTCCCCATTAAATGCTTATATCGAAATCCTGCTCCTCAGAAAACTCATAACATTATAAAGAGAGACACTCTACCACAAGATTTTAAAGAGGATGAGTGAGTATTGAAATACCAAAACAAATATTATTCCAAAATCTCAGCTTGAAATACTTCACAATGGAACATTTTCAGAGATCTTGAAATTATAGATACCTTAGAGCAAACGGCCCCAGTACCTCAACTCTCCATGGAGGTACGGCAAAATGGTCAATTAATTGATCGCATGGTTAATGTTATACCCGGAACCCCACTGATTATGGAAATCAAATTGAACAACGAATCCTCACAAGTATACGGCATACATGTTCAATATTTGGAGGTATCCGATGGGAATTCAACATCGGAGACCATTTTATTTAGGGGGTAATTGAAAATGTACTTTTATTAAAATAAAAAAAAAAAAAATATTTATCAACAATTTTAACAATATTTTATTAAATTTATAAAAATACTAGCTGGCCCGGTCCGCGTTGCCGGCCCGTAGTTTTAGTCTTTAATGCAAATTTTGTATAGCGTAATATTTCACAAATCTGGCTCATAAAGGCGAACAAATTTTAACATAAATATTGATCGGACTAAATAGAAATATATACCTATGGAAGGAGGGCAAAATAATTTCTGAATAGTCAAAGTTAATTACGCTTTTACACCCGTTACCATAGCACCTCAGATTGCGCTTTAGAGTCCCCAAGAAGTCTATGTTCTTGTTCATAGTAAAATTCAATGACGAATCAACAATGTCTGTGTTGTTGTCCGCCAATAGGTAAAAATCAATATAGATCGGGGCCCTGGGGACTATATGGGGACTTTACCAAAGTACTTAACTTATGTTGGCATTTTTCTGTAAGATGGTTCTCTACTCATAAAGTAGCCTAAATACAGCAAAATCGATTGGAAAATGTGGTCAAGACTCTCGAAAAAGAAAAGCCAAGATGCCAAATAAAGGCCAAATTAGTTGAAAAACGTGGCCAAGACCACGGTCATAGCTGAAATAAGGGATACATTATACATACACATATAAGGGTTACACCAAAACGTAGCCCAACCAATATTCTCATGGGGGTTACAAATTCAATAGAATACAAAATTTTCTTTTCTGACCACACATTAGATGTGAAAGTGGACTTGGGGATACTCCAATGTGCGGACTTTACTTACATAAATTCCGAGGTGGCAAATATCTGTATGATGGTTCCCTACCCCAGGTTAACATAAATACAATTTTTAGCCAAATCAATTGATGAATGTGGTCAAGACCAAAATGGGCCCTACTCTGAAAATTAAAAACATTATGCGAAGAGGTTCTCTACCCCCTTAGAAACAAAGATGCCAAATAAGGGCCAAAATATGAAAAAAAAAAGTGGCCAAGACCCCAAAAATAGCTTAAATCATACGATGGTTATATAAATATGAAATCGGGTTGTACCCTTATCCGTGAGTTATAATCGATATCATGTCCTGCAAAAGCGATTTAAGGTATCTTGAATGTTTGCAAAGAATTTCTGGAAGGATAGAAATCCTTTTCTTTCAAATTTCTTTCAAATTTAAAGGGTGCAAAATATTAGAGCGAATGGGACTTTTAACCATTCGCTCTAATATTTTGCACCCTTTACACCCTCTACAAAAGAATTTTGCATTTTGAGCTCTCATTGGACGGATTATTGTCACATAAAAGAAGTAGGTCCACGCTTTTAAATGAGCCTCATTAGGCTTTTTCGGTCATTTTTGTTTGTTTAAATGTGTTCGCATCTTCCAGCTGAACCACGATGAAGGAAGATGTCAGTTAACATCCTATTTCGCACTTTTTTTTTTTGTGAAAAATTGTATATATTGAAAAATTATTCTTTATTTTGTTCACAAAAAATTCACTGAATTCAATATGATAATACAAATTGAAAAAAAATTGACAAAAGAAGAATAACAAATTGAAAAAATCTTCCACTTGTTTGCTGATTTTTTACAGCAAATGTTTAAAGATCCTTACAAAGTTTGTCAGTAAAATGTACTATTATTTTAAAATTCGATTCCATTGAAATTTTTTTTCGATTTTTTTCCCGATTTGAGAATTTTTGCAATGAGATCTCTTTTTCGTGATTTTTTAGCGATTTTGAAAAAGTAATAATCTTTTAACTTTGGTGTGACCGCGTTAAATTATTCCGATATCATCTATTCCGTTTCGCCATCACATAATTCAGTACTACACTTCCATGTAACCCGCCATCAATTTCATTTCTCAAGAAATCAAGTCAATTAAATAAATTGGTATTAATATTCAAATTCAAAAATAAAATATAAAAAACACCACACATGTACATTAGAAAAAAGTAAGTCAAAATGGAAAAAAATCATGCAAAATAAAACATTACTATTGTACATTTCAAAAGTCAAAATGAAAATGTTAATAAATCACATTTTTACGCGATTTTTTTGGATATTATCCCTTTCGGACAGGAGACAATTCCAAATTTGTATGAATCGTTAAAATCAGTCCAGCGGTTCTTAAGTTATAAGCGTAGTAACTAACACAACTTTCTTTTATATATATAGATTCAATTCTTATTTTCAGCTGCACAGTAGATCCATATTTGTTTGATAACTTCCTAATGACCCCCGCAAATACCCTGCAAGCCAAATTTCGTGCCTTTAAATTTCCCAACACACCATATGTACAATTTCGTGCCAATGTTCGGATATGTTTGAGGAAATGTCTAATACCCCATTGCCTCAATGGACAAGGTCGCTCCCGCAGAGAATTGAATGGGGAGGATGAGCATCTCTATGAAATATCACTGGGTGTAATAATGAAAATTGATGACAAATTTACGGGAAATAATGGTAACACGAAACGAAATGTTATATTTTTACACAATTGGTCACTTTATATTCTTTGCATCTACTTTCAGATGAGTTGCGAAAACTTGAGAGTCATGTCAAAGAATTGAAAAATAAAAATCGAATTTTAAGAGACAAATAAACCATGAAAACAGAGCAAAATGATTTGTTTTAATTTTTAAAAGAGTAGTAAAATAACTGACAAACTGACCGAGAATCAATACCCATAAAAACGGCTAAAGCTAGAATCTTGTAATTTTGCACGAGGGTCAGTCTGGAAAGGTTCTTGGAAATTCGTATGAAAAGAATACGAAAAGTAATAAGTAAAAAAGAAGGTAAGTTCGGCCGGCCCGAACTTTTAATACCCTCCACCATGTCGACAAAAATTTCAAAAAAAAATTCCGAAAAGTAACACTTAATTGAAAACCGTTTTATGGGGACTATACGAAGACGTGGGCATGTTTACGAAATTTTTTGTCATAGGCTGTAGTGCCCATTACGAACTTCAAATACGAAATTTGTTCTCGCAAAAATCATAAAAATACGGAGTATAGGGAGGTACCGAAGACGTGAACCTGCACAGACAATTTTCTGTCTTAGGTTGTAGTACCCATTAGGATCTTCCAATAGAAAATTTTAAACAATTCCGGTGAATAATGTTGCTGAAATCATTACCGAATATGGGGAGGTGTCGTTATATGGGGGCTTTTCGAAGCTTGTATACAAATTTTTTTGGCATAGGCTGTAGTACTCATTAGCATCCTCCAGTACGAAATTTCAGACGATTCCGGTAAATAATGTCGCTAAAATCAACAAAATACCGAATATCGGGAGGTATATGGGAGCTATGCGAGAACTTGGACCTGCATACAGAAATGTTTGTCATAGAACTTCAAATACGAAGTTTTAAATAATTCCGGTAAATAATGTCGCTAAAATCATGAAATAACGGAATATCGGGTGGTACCCTTATATGGGAGCTATACGAAAACGTGGACCGACATGGCCCATTTACGAACTTAATCTGGTTACTGTAAACTATCCATGCATGCAAAATTTTAGCCTTCTATCTCAATTCGTTCGAAAGATAGCGTGATTACAACAGACGGACAGACAGATAGACAGACGGACAGACAGATAGACAGACGGACAGACAGATAGACAGACGGACAGACAGATAGACGGACAGACAGATAGACAGACGGACAGACAGGCGGAGATCGCTAGATATTCTTAGAATTTTACGCTGATCCCGAATATATATACTTTGTAGGGTCTATTATGAATATTTCGAGGAGTTACAAATGGAATGACAAAGTTAATATACCCTCCATAGAATGGTGGAGGGTATAAAAAATGTACTAAAAATTTAATACTTTGTATAGGACAAAGAGAATGAGCTAGAATGACATTTGGAATGAGAGTCACTGATGGAGTGCAGGATAGATGTACCAAAGGATTTTTGGTTACGAAAAGTCTTAAAATGGTACTAAAATTCTAAAAAGGTACCATTTGGTATTATGTGAATGGATAAAGCTAAAAATTTGGTATGAGAATCAAGGTTAGAAACTAAGTTTGATATGTGAAGGTAGTTTTGGAAATGTGTACTAAATACTAAATGTGAGAACTGTACTAAACGGTACTAAATTGGAAAAAGTTTGCTTTAGGGTGGACGAATGAAGCCGGAGATGCAAAAATTTTGTATTGGGGTCCCAGCTGGTGGTTGACCTGCGAAAAATATTTTAAGAAAAAAGTACAAGAAATACACGAAAAGTACTATATATAACTATGCAGGGTGAGATAAAAATAACTGCAACAAAGGCAAACGCTATAATTTTTACATTTTTTTAAATTTTATTTTAAATTTTGTTGGAAATATCATCAAATTTTTAGAATACGTTTAGATTTGTTCGAATTGTTCACCTTTGACGCGAACTATGGCCTTAAAATGGTTAACGAAACCGTCACACTCTGCCCGAATGTTTTTCTGCGGTTTTTTTCCCCATTCCCGGCAAAGCGCTTGCTTGAGATGATCGATACTTTGGTATTTTTTAGTGCCAACATTGCTTTCGAAAATACTGAAGACCCAATAGTCCAACGTATTTGTATCTGGAAATTTTGGTGGACATTGTGCACTGGAAATGAATCGAGGAACCTTATTTTGTAAATATTCTTGGTTGGCGCGTGTTAAGTGCGATGGTGCTGAGTCCTGTTGGAATGTCCAAGGTCTGCGGCAAAAATGTTTGCGTGCCCAAGGCTTTAATACACCGTCCAGATAATATTCGGCATTTATTCTGATGATGATTAATACGAGCGGGGAGCGTCCATCGGCTGTTATGACGGCCCACACAATCACCATGCCCGGCGCTTGAGTTCGGTTGGCCAACGAAAGTGCACATTTCCAGCTGAGCTCTTTGGCAAGTAAACACGACCATTTTGGTTATTTACAAACTGCTGGTCAACGAATGTTTTATCGGAAAAAACCAAATTCGGAAGTTCACCACTTTCGGCCAAGCGAAGCTCTTTTGAGACTATTTTCTTTCAGTTGCGGTGTAAGTTCTTGCCCCTTTTTTTGGAATTTCAAATCATTTTTTAATATTTGCCGAATGGAATATTGCGATATGTTCAGCTCACGAGCCATTTTTCGGACACTGCGACGCGGATTTCGATCAAGTCGCTTCTTTACTTTTCGAACCATTTCTGCTGATTTTGCTATTTTCTTCCGTCCACTTCTTTGACGTCGGGCTGCGCTACCAGTATCACAGTAACTAGCGATGGTACGAGACACAGAAGATTTATTCACATTTAAATGCTGGAGTGCTTTAACGATACCTACTTGTGGTTTTCCAGCCAAATGCAAAGAAATCACGCTTGAATTCCATCACGAATAACTTTTTTCTCGAGAATTCTCTCCAAAATGCTTTTGTACGCTTGTAAACAATATAATGAGCTGTCACTGGAATAATTTTAAGAGCTGTCGGACGAGTGGCTTAGAAATGACAGCAGTCTGAAGTTGGTTGCAGTTCTTTCATCTCACCCTGTAATTGGTACAATTTGGTATTGATTGAACAGATAGTGTTTGAAACTTGAAATTTCGGTAAAAGGGTCGCTGTTCACGTGTTGCCGGAACACATGGAGGTGGTTTCGGAAATATGTACTATAATTGTACGAAAAATACTGAATGGTACTTTATTTGGAATGGGGAGAAGGGATAGAGATAGCATTCTGAAATAAGATATTTAAGCTACTAATGGTGTATGTGTTTGGGGTTTGGAGGAGGGTTTGGAAGTGCGTTCGATTTTTGTTCGAAAAGTATCAAGTGGTACTAAATTGGGTATTGGGTGAAGGGATAGAGCTGGAATCCCGAACAATGATATGGAAGCCTTTGTTGGTATCTGGGATTAAAATATGAAGGTAAGTTTGGATATGCATCCTATATTTGTTCGAGAGCTACTAAATTGGACTATATTCAGTATTGGATGAAAGGATAGACCTGAAATCGAGAAATTTTGTATATTTAGACAAATCCATGGAAAAATGTAGCGAAAATCATCAAAATACCGAACATTGGGAGGTACCGTTATATATTAGAACGTGGACGCCTCTAAACGTTTATAATAGACCCTACAAAGTATGTATTCTTGTTGTAATCACGCTATCTTTCGAACAAATTGAAATAGAAGGCTAAAATTTGGCATACATGCATAGTTTATCAGCAGGCAGATTAGGTTCGTAAATGGCCATGTCGGTCCACGTTTTCGTATAGCCCCCATATGACGGTAGCTCCCGATATTCGGTATTATTTACCGGAATTATTTAAAATTTCGAATTTGAAGTTAGTAATGGGTACTACAGCCTATGACAAATATGCTTGTATGCAGGTCTACGTTTCCGTATAGCCCTCATATAACGGTCCCGATAGTCGACATATTTATGATTTTACGAACATTTCGTAAGCAAGTCTACGTCTTCGTATAGTCCCCATATAACGGTTTTCATGTAAGTAGTAGTTTTCGAAGTTTTTTTTTTAATTTTTAAGTTCCTTTCAAAAGGTGGAAGGTATTAAAAGTTTGGCCTGGCCGAACTTAGCTTCTTTTTTACTAGTTTTTTTTTTTAATTTTTTTTACCTTATTATTTTTATTACCGATGTAAAAATATTTGTTAAGCTTCTATTTAAAACCTCATTTGGCCATTTCACAGCCGTTTTACATTAAAATTTAGATTAAATAATTTTATGATTTTCTCAGCTCTATTAAATATGAAAATAACTAAAAGAGACCCCATACTCATAAACCATGTAATATAATTAATAATTCTATTTTCTATGGCCAACTAACTTCGCTGTTACTTTTTTTTCCAAAAAATGTAATTCAACTTACCGCCCAAAAAATGGGTTCAACAACTCCATGAAGTCACAAAACAATGACTCCGTAGATAGCCACCACAAGATAAGGTAGTCAGCCTTCTTTGCCATACCCCTCAACATCATCATCCATCATCGTCATGATGATGAACAACAAACATTGCCCAGATCATCAACATTTTCAACGTCTTCACAGTTTGTTTAGTTCGGTCTATAATTTAGTTAGAAGTCATAAAACAAAACACAACCGTACATACGTAAATCTAATAAAACCTAATGTTCTTGTTTTAAATGGTGTTTTTCTTTACCTAAAAAAATAGAAGAACACATTTCCCACTCCTCCACAATTTCTTGGATTAGTTATTCTTTTGGCGTTAAAATGTGTCTAGCTACCAGGCAACGTCTCAGCGTAAGTCTAGCGTGTCAATTATAATTTTATAATTGTCTCTTGGTTATCGTTACGCGGTGGCTTCTAATGACCACAAAGTAAATGTCATTTCATTTAGATTTAATGGATTTTCTCAGCCGCACAGGGATGGGTATGAGTACAGGCTGAGAAGTTAAAGGTGCATAAGTAATGGTATTGTTCTCTCCTAATTAGGTTGAGTTAAAAAAGAGGGGCGGAAGCCTTCAGTTTGTCTGGAGAGGCAAACAGCCTTCAATTCGTCTGGAGAGGCAGACGACCTTAAGTTCGTTTGGAGAGACTTTAGGAGCTCACCTATGAAGAAGACTTTGAGGGGTCATCTTTAAAGACGACCTTGAGGGCTATAAAGATGACCTAGAGAGTTCG